TGGCCCCAGCCCCCAGGGAGCAGCCCTGCTCCTGCCCCATCCCCGCTGGCACGGGGCATCCTGGGGCACCCAGCCAGGCCCCTTCATCCTCCTCCTCCTCCAGGCTGCACCACCTAATTCAGGCTCTGCTCTGGCGGGCGAGGGGAACAGCCCCCCTCCTGCCCTAACACGAGCTCTGCTCCCCGAACGAGCTGCTCTGCTGGGCTGGGGGGGCAGGGGACAGGGACAACAGGCATGGTTTATGTAGGACCTACACAGAAACACCACCTGGTGCTGCCTCTTGTGTGATGTGGGACCACACGCACACCTTGGGCCATGCAAGGAGGCCAAGCAGCCCCACAGCCCCGAAGGATGCGGAGCAAACCCCCCCACCCGCTGCACAGCAAGCTCCATGAAAGCCTGGCGTTCCGGGAAGCCCCGGGAATTCCTGGGCCAGGAGTCACGGGGCAGGGCAGGGGTACGGGCAGGGCACTGGGCTCACAACCCCTTGCTGGTGCAGGTTGCTGGCAAGCAGGTCCCGGGCCATGCAGGGCTGCCCCAAGCCCCGGCAGCATGCGGTGCTGTCGGGCTGTGCCCCCAGGGGACCAGGCTGCAGGACAGACGTGGGACGTATCCAAGCAAAGCACCTCAGTTTGCCGTTGTTGGGCTTGGCAAGCCTGGCACCAGGCTTACCAGGGGGAAACTGAGGCAGGACCCTCTGTGGGAGCCGGTGGGGGGGCACCCAGCTCAGCCCACCCCCAGCCCCCTCTGCCCCGCAGTGGCAGCCTGGCCCAGGGCACCGTGCCCCCGGTGCAGCTGGGACACAGTACCTCTGTCTCCACGTGCCCCACGTCCGCAAGAGCCTCCTCTTACCCCTAAAGATCGGGCTGGAGGGTCAGGGCAGAGACACAGGAGAAAACCAGAGTTAGCCCAGGGCCGGGAGGGAGCGGAGCACCCGGGGCCATCGCGTCCCCGACCCCCAGCGTGTGGGCACAGGGCCGAGCGGGTCCGGGCCCGGGCGGGGCTGCCCCAAGCCCCGGCAGCATGCGGTGCTGTCGGGCTGTGCCCCCAGGGGACCAGGCTGCAGGACAGACGTGGGACGGGGTTTATCCAAGCACCTCAGTTTGCCGTTGTTGGGCTTGGCAAGCCTGGCACCAGGCTTACCAGGGGGAAACTGAGGCAGGACCCTCTGGGGAGCCGGTTGGGGGGGCACCCAGCTCAGCCCAGGGGACACAGTACCTCTGTCTCCACGTGCCCCACGTCCGCAAGAGCCTCCTCTTACCCCTAAAGATCGGGCTGGAGGGTCAGGGCAGAGACACAGGAGAAAACCAGAGTTAGCCCAGGGCCGGGAGGGAGCGGAGCACCCGGGGCCATCGCGTCCCCGACCCCCAGCGTGTGGGCACAGGGTCCCTGCCCGCCACCGGTGAGCATCTCCCGCTGCACCGGACCACGGTACCCCCCCCGTCTGCTGTGGGGGCAAGAAGCACGAGCAAAGTTGTTTGCGTAGGTCCTGCATAAACACTAACGCCTGTCCCGCAGAGCGAAGTCCAGTTTCTCAGCGGCGGAGCTCTGCAAAAAAGCGATTTGGTGACGGGACGTGGTGCCGAGCAGCTGAACGGCGGCGACTCTGCAAACACTGCTGGGGCTCTGCGGCCCCCCCGGCCCCTGCCCGCTCGCTGCAGGAGGACGGGACAGGCGGCGAGCAGC